GTGTAAATCTCCTTGACAATTTTACAAAACTATACAGGCATTACTATGATCTAAGACTAGAGTTCTAACTCACAGCTCACACTTACATCTAAAAGCAAAAGCCATACTGGATCAGAACAGTACTTCTCAGCTAGCCTGTACGGCATATACCACAGCTGTGTCCATTTCAAGGACAGATCAAGCCCTGCTCACCCCCCGCTGTGATTAGATAAATTTCTTTTCAGCGCTTTAGATTGAAACTAAGCAAAATACAGCAGAAAGGGAAAGTCTATTGCACAAGAAAAGCTTCCTCCAACTCTAGTACCTAGAAACATGATGTTCCAACCTCTCTTTGCATGTGTGCAGGAGAGGGGATAGGAAGCAAGCATCATGGTATCATTCTTTCACCCAGCATGTGTTAAATAGTCACATACCAGAATATGGCCTGGTATTCTTCATTGTTTTCTTATGCAGTTCAAGTATGCTGGCAAGTGAAAACTGTTTCAGAACTGTACAAAGAGGGGTAGTTTTCCATTGGCATGGCAAATAAACCAGCTGAATGATTTGTCTTTTCTTTCTCCCAACTCATGGAAAATCTTTAATTAGTTAAAATGGATTTTTAAATAATCAGTAGCACATGCACAGAGCACAGGATAGTCAAGACTGCAATTTTCTTAATTCCTGAAGGGCTTTCATTCTTTATACAGTATCTATAAAGCTACCACTAGAGATACAAAATACCTTATAGTGCAGACTTTCCCTGAGTTAGCATCAGCAGCTTATTGAATATAAAAGTTGGAAATAGACCACCCCATCTCACAAAAGATTAAAAAAAAAAATCTTTAAAGGACTCCCCAGAGCTGTAAAGGAATTCAACAACAATTTTTTAAAAAGAATAAGCATGTACCACTAAAGATCCACCCTTGTAAAGTGGGAGAATACTACCCTATTTGACAAGAGCATCAAAAGCTTAATTATTGATAAAGCCCTTTGAGAGCCTTGCATAAAAAGTGCTAGACAAGTTCCAATTATAAAGAAAAGATAGAAGCAGAGATTTTAAAAAGGGAAGAAGATAGTCTATGTGATGTGTTCCTTATGCATTTGCTTTTTGCACATCTAACAGCCAATCATTATTGCTTTTCAGAGGGATCTACTATTTCTCTAATGAAACCTCAGAAGAATATGGAGGGTGGATTACACTAAGAATGGGAGGCAGTCTCATGTTTCAGGTCTGATTTCCTTTATATCCAGTGATCCCTTATTTAAAAAAGGGGCAGAGGCAAGATCACTACTTCCTCAACACTCAGGGCTGGTCTACACTACCCTCCAGATCGGCGGGCAGCTATTGATCCAGCCGGGGGGTGGGGGAGTCGTCGATTGATTGCGTCTATCAATCGACCACTGAGTGCTCTCCCATCGACTCCGATACTCCACCAGAATGAGACGCGCAAGTGGAGTCGACGGGAGAGCATCAGCTGTCAACTTACCACAGTAAGTAGATCTAAGTATGTCGACTTCAGCTACGCTATTCACATAGCTGAAGTTGTGTATCTTAGATCGACCCCACGAGGTAGAGTAGACAAGCCCTCAGACATGATTGCAGGGCCACCTCAGGTCTGCAGACACACCAGACATGTTACTGAATACCAAAATTTAGGGCAGTCTACAACTCATTTTGCTATATTTAGAGGAAAATTGCAGGGGGGGGGGGGGGGAGTGTCAGTAACTTAAACCAAACCCCTTCTATGCAGCATGATGCTCACCTCAAGACGACTTATTGACATTACTATGAAGGGGAGAAACCTTATTTGCTGTGACCAGATCAGTTTCAATATAGACCATCTCCTAGGAGACAGGGCAGAAGAGGAGATGAAGCCTGTGGCTACAAACTCCAATTTTAAACAAAATGGAGCAGCTCAAATATGTCAATCTATTCGCATTTACTTAAAAAGAGAGAAGATGGGACTGCTGCAACTCAGGAGATCAGGGTTCTATTCCTAGTTCTGATGCATATGACAGGTTGGTCAACTCACACTGTGGTTCTGCTTGGAAAAGTGACAGTAGGAATTCTATTGTGTTGTGCCATTGTTTATTCTCGCCAAAATTTCTGTAAGGAAGAACTCAGTTTACAAGTAAGCATGTTTTTTCTGGCTAGCAGGTTTACCAAGTCGCCCCAGTCTCAGTCAACCAGGCTTCTTCCCTTCCCACACACCAGCACCCTTCACGAAGGTTCTGCAGGCCCAATTAGACCTTCACTTATACCTGTGCAATCACAATCTATAGGACTGCCCAGATGTAACCAACTGGAACCGTGTAAACAATTCTGTTGACAATGCAACAGAAAAAAAAAATACATAACTCAGCTACGCTCTCTGCAGCAGCATCGGTTTGGCCCTGAAAGGAGTAGAGCAGTAAAAATGTCACTAACGTAAGAAGACTGAAAACACTGTGATTCACCATTACCCTGCACCCTGTGTAGTCATTCACACTTGCACACTGGGTGTAGAAAACTATCATTCTGAATTGGAAGCACCCACTTTGCATTGGTGTAACAGACCACACAGGGCAATAGTGATTTACACCAACAGGGAGCTGTTGTAGTAAGAAGGTGCCATTTTATAGTAGTGCACTTTCACCTCTGCCTCAAGTTACTACTGACATTTAATCACAGTCTCAAGCTGGCCCAGTGTTAAAATATTTTTAGCCTGATCACTTTCACTATCACTTTTTGTACAGATGCTTTCCATTGAAGTAACCATGTTAGTGCAAAATTGTCTTCAAAAGCTAAGGTCATCTACCTCTAAGTACTTACAGGATAGAAAACTGGGTTAGACACTTTTTGGCTAAAATACTTGTGTTTCAAATATGCATTTTCCTTTTCTCTCTCTCTCTCTCTCACACACACACACACGGTTTTAAGCAACCATCAGTAAGAACCCTGTATAACAAAATTTGATGTGTGGGTCATCACTTAAATAGCCACAGGACCCAGAAACATTGAGAATTATTAGCCCAGCAGGAATTGCACTAGTAAAAGGTTTGCTAAAATTCTTTAAAATGATCAGCCTGGACTGATCAAGTGGGTCAAGACAACAGATAATCCACTAGAAGGGAGAAAGTACTTAAAAAAAGAAAAGTTTCATCTCTTGATTTAGATTTTTTTTTTTTAAACTTTATTTTTCAACATGACTAAGAATGAAAATAAAACATTCTTATCAGGATTTCTGCAGTATGTGAATCAGCACAATATTTTCCATTACAAAAGGTTATTAAAAGTTAGTCTTAGGGTATGTCCACACAACCCCCTGGATCGGCGGGTAGCAATCGATCTATCGGGGATCGATTTCACGTCTCGTCTAGACTGATAAATCGATCCCCGAACGCGCTCCCTGTCGACTCCAGAACTCCACCAGGGCGAGAGGCGGAAGCGGAGTCGACGGGGGAGCCGCAGCCGTCGATCCTGCGCCATGAGGACGGGAGGTAAGTCGATCTAAGATACGTCGACTTCAGCTATGCAATTCTCGTAGCTGAAGTCGACATATCTAAGATCGATCCCCCCCCCCCCCCACTAGTGTAGACCAGGCCTAAGTCTACACTTCATTGTTGTTTAATCAGGTATTGTTTTGGTTATAGACCTTAGGTACAGTCTTAAGTCCATTTTCTTTCTTTGCCCATTAAAGGGGTTGTCATGTACATCTGCATTTCTTACTGTCATTGATTGTCCTCTTGACTGGAGATGTTCACATTAACTTTTATGAAAATTCAATACTAGGAAGCCACATAGATGCAAACATCCAAAATGGTCTTTGATTTCTTGGCACATCAGTAATGTCTCCTTAATAGTAGTGATCTATTGGGCCAGATCCTGTCCCAACCTCCTTTGTACCATCCGAAAGTTGCTATTAATAGGCCTAACCAGAGTAGGGGAAATCCTTAATTAGCAAAGAGTCCACCACTATACCACCCTTTCCTGGCATAGTCACACACTTCAAGGAGGAAGGGATGGCTCCAGAATCTGCTACACTCCCACATTCCTAGAACTACTACAAACAAGAGTAATTTCAGAGCAGTCGAGAGGCTACTCTAATTTCTGATGCAGGCCAGTCTGGCAGTGTGACCATGTCTTAAAGTCACCTTTGCCAGCCCTTCACTGTTCTTTGCATTTGGCAAGTGCTGAAAAGTTCTTTGAACTATTTTAGTTAAGAATTTCAGCCTATTTGTTTCTTCTGAAGAGCAATTCAGTCTTTTCTAATTAACTGACCTTTCATTACAGCCCGTCATGCATTGCATAGCAGACCCTTTTTTAATATTACATTTATCAAGTTCAGAGCATTGAAGGACAGTTTAATAGGTTCTTTTCTTGGGGATCCTGCAAGAGGAGAGAATACACTAAACTAATGGTGGTTTCATAGATAAAGAGTGGAACGGGGCATGATCTGTGGTATTTTCACAATGCTGCTTTCACCTAATTGAAAGATTGTCTCTGTAGTTTTTGCTTGCAGAAATAGATTGTAATCATTCAAATTTAGATTTCTCCAGTCTTCTATAAAACCTTCTAAAGGAAGGAGAAGAGAGGGTACTGTGGGCCCTGTTTATTACTACTTCACTTGCTATTGTCATATTTCAAGTCGCCTTTGCGGTATCCTGCAATGAGTGCAAGAACCTTTATTTAGGGACTCCCTTTATTCCCAGTATGGTTCATTTTTTCCATTATGCCCACCTCCATTTTAGAAATTGTCTTGCACATGTTTAACTGCTTGATTCTGGACTACATATTCAATATTGCATCAGTATTCTCCCATGTTCCAGAAAAGGGGTAATAGAGGAAAACAAGAACTTGGCTTCTCTATTAAATGACTGCAGGAAAAGGAGGGAAACTGATTTTTGAAGAAATATATAAAATTTGATAGTTGTTACCACCTTCAATAGTTGCAATTTCAAATAAAAAAAATAGTAGGGTTAATAGTGTCTACATGTGTCTCTTCTCAGATTCAAAAGGGTAGGTATTAATGAAACAGGTTTCATTTCTGCTTGTGCCTTGGAGTTAACTTCATCTGTGCTCCACCAGTGCTTTCTGGGCTTTGGTTGGCAGTGAGAAAAAGGGCTTCTGGCCTCTTCAGCCTTTCAAAACTGTAGCATTCAACTTTTTCTTCGGTGGAGACTGTTCTGGTGCTTACAAGGTGAAATCCTTCTTTAAGTAAAGTGTCAGCTAGTAGGCCCAGTACATTAGTTCCATTAATCAGCTTTCTATCATCAGGTTTTATAGAGACATACCTAGAGAAAGAGAAAAGTGTGATTATGAGTTAACATCCTTCTTGGAGGATGGAACCATGTTTTTAACAGGCCAAATTCTCAGCTGATGTAAATCAGCATGATTCTATTGCCTGCAACAGAGCTGCACTGATTTACACTAGCCAAGAATCTAGATTAGTTTTAGGGCTGTCGCGTGATTTAAAACATTAATCACGATTAATCACACTGTTAAACAATAATAGAATAACATTTCAATATTTTTGGATGTTTTCAAATACCATATTTACTCGTTCACAAGCCGAATTTTATTTAGTAAAAATGGGAAGCACCAGAGAAGGGAGTCGGCTTATGAACGGGTATAGAGAGGGAGAGGTGGGACACAGCCCCTCCCCCCAACAGAGGGAGCAAGGACAGGCAGCACAGCCAGCAGAGACAGAAGGGAAGAGGTGGGGCCAAAGTCTCTCCGCTTCTGGCCATGCTGCTCTCCCCCCAGCCGCCCGGCCCACTGGAGCACACTGCGGCCACGCCGCCCGGCCCGCCGGAGCAGCTCCAACCAGGTCAGAGACATCCTCCCTTGGCCCTCCCCAGATAAGGTGGGAAGGGATGGGATGGTGAGAGTGAGGGGGTCCCGGGCTAGGGATGGGGTCATGTGGGGGGTGGTCACAGGGGTTACTCCCCTGACTCCCAGCTTCTCCCCCCCAAAAAAGTTTCCCCACCAGTTGCTGTCCCGGCTCGTCAGGATAAGCAGCTGGCATGCCGGGACACTTTGTTTACTTAGGTTTACCTCCGTGCCTGCAGACGCTTGAGGTAAACAAACCATCTTGGCCCGCCAGCGGCTTATCCTGATGGCCCGGGAGCCAAAGTTTGCTAGCCCCTGAATTATAGGGTCGGCTTTTGAACGGGTTATAAAAATTTTCCATTTTTACTTATCCATCGG